AGGTAAACAGTTAATTGGAAATAAAGTTGTGACAGTTTCAAGGGATGAACGGGAGCAAGTGCATTTGTATGTTCTGCACAATGACATTGAGGTTGAGCCGTACGTTGAAATGCACAGGGACGTTCTCCGAGGTTTAAATCTGAATAGAGATGAAAATTGGATAGTACGTGAGCACAATCGAAGTTTTATGACATGGTTCAAAGAGCATATTTTTTCAAAGTTTTATTCTGATCCCGCTTCAATAACAGAAAGGTTGAGATGTTTAGCATATGGTCCAAGTTTGCATGTGTTTTCTTATAGCGTATACGCAATTAATGGATACACATTTTATACCAAGGAACAAGATGATAAAAGTACAATGCAAAATAGTGGTGTCACCGTGCTTGCCGAAGCAATGCACATTTCCTCGTATTTTGGGGTAATCGAGCGCATTTGGGTGTTTGATTATGAGAAGTTTCAGATTCCTATCTTTGGATGCAAGTGGGTTGAAAATAATAGTGGCATACGAATGAATAAGTCAGGTTTTTTGCAAGTGGATCTTAATAAGGTGGGGTACAAAGATGAGCCTTTTATTCTAGCCACGCAAGCTAAATAAGTGTTCTATGTCACTGATCTGACAAGTACGAAATGGTCTATAGTTCTTTTTTCCAACAAAGTAATCGATGATAACATTGGAGAAAAGGGGGATGTTGATGTTGAGAATGAATCTTATATTATGGATGATCCAGATGAGAATATTATAGCAGACAAATCATATATTAGAAATGATCATAACGAGGGAATATGGATCAATCCATCCGTCCGTGTTATTAAGAGACAAGTAAACCACGTTCAAACTAAGAAAAGAAAGAGATGTTAAAGGTACTTGTAAAATTACATATTGTCTCATTCAATAAAATTACATATTTATATCATGTTTCTTATTTATACGTACCATGTTTTTCTTATTTATACATTTCTTATGTATATATTTCTTATTTACATATTTGCATGTCATTCATTTGATACTTTGGTTTTTCTGAATTACAGGTATATTATGGCCAGCGACGAGGAAACATCACATGATGGAAAACAAACAACAAAAGACGTGGAAGGCGATATTAAAAGAGGAATAACGATTATAAAAAAAATCATCCGTGCGAGAGATAAAGGTGTAAAGTATGATGTCCATTAGAATGAAAGAGATCAGTTAGTTGAGCCTAACGGTGCGCTGCTGACAAGTTACATTGGAGCATTTGTACGTTCGCAAGTTCCGATTACTTGCAATAATTGGAGAATTCCTTCATTACAAGTGGCTAAAGATAAAATTTGAAACGAGATTCAGGTATGATATTTGATCATTTTTAATTATGTTGACAGTTACATCTTTAAATTAATTATACTAACATGTTATATGTATGTGTATTTGTTTGCAGAGATCTTTTAATATTGAGGATTGTAGGAGAAAATATTGTATTCAATTGGCCGGAAAACGCTTGAGGGGATTTAGAGCGTTTTTAACGAACAAGTTTCTTAAAGATTCTGATGGAAACTTTGTTGACTCGGAGCATCCAATGAAGTACGCTGATTTGATTTCGGATGAAGAATGGGAGACATTTGTTACCAAGCGAAGAACCAAAGAATTTGAAGTAAGTACAACTTATCATGAAGAATGTATAATATATATACTTCTTCCACAAGAGTTCTGATATGACTTAAACTTGTTTTTTCAGGTTGTGAGTGGCGTAAATCGGAAACGGGCATCAAAACCTGCGTATCCATACAAAAATGGGCGTTTGGGATATGCACGCTTAGAACAAAAAATAGTAAGTACATATAAATGCTTTAATATGATATATTTACAAAAAATAGTAAGTATATATAATAGGATATAATGCTTTATTATTCGTCTTAATGCATAGTTGGAAGAGGAGAAAAGTGATGCGACATCTCTTCCGGACCATGTTGTATGGAAGGCTGCCCGTGTGGGAAGAGATGGAGTCGTCCAGGAAGAAGTTCAACAAGTATTTGAACAATGTGTAATTACAACATTAGCTTTGCTAGTAACTGATCAAAAGTGTATAATATATTTATATATGCTTTTATCTATATTTCAGGAGACTCTATCCCAGACTATAACTCCAGCTGAGGACAATGATTGCATGAGCTTACTGAGTCGGGTGTTGAATATTCCTGAGTATTCTGGGCGTGTGAGGGGTAAGGAATTTGGTGTCACTCCATCCAAACTATATAAGCATCCAAAGAAAAAAAATCCAACCAATAAAGAAGTGATGGCTACTTTGGAGGAAATGAAAGCTCAGATTCGTGAATTACAGAAGGACAAGAAGAGATACATGTCGGAAAGGCGCGCTCCAGAGGGTAAAGCTACTAGTGACAAAGATAGTATCGGTTGTCCGCAGAAGCTTCCAGAGGTACGCAATTGTATATATTACATTAAAATTAATTTAGCACAGCTTTCTTAATTGACACATTAACTGATCATTATTTGTTTAGGGCATTTCACCTTGTCGGCAATATTTATCGTCACCGATTTATCGCATGGTTGCCAAGGGAAATGTGCATAACACTCTGGGAGACTTACTTCACCATAAACCGCTCCCTGCTGAATTTTTGAAAGTATCGGTTGATATTGCGTTAGAGAGGGGAGCGTTGTTGCCTATACCAGATGCTGTTTGAGACGCAACATGGGTGGGAGACGCAATAGGAGCATATGTTGCATGGCCGACAAATCTCATTTTCCTAGATGATGAGGTAGGTTGAACCTTGTAATATTCAAATGTTTTATGACCCATACATGAAAGTTATTCTTTCATTTACATTTTCTTATTTACATGATGATCTTAGACTCCTTCAAAATCCAAATCAAAAGATGGTAGAATTATTGTGCGGGATACCGATTCAGCTGTATCAAAGAAACAAGTACTACTACAGTTACATGATTATCTTAATATACATTAATTACTGAACTTATATATGACTTTTAGGTTCATGATCAGCAGTTGCAACAAGTCAGCAAGGGTAAGATGCCTGAAACTTCCAAGGTGCCCAACAAAAAAAAGGTCGAGCCAAAAAAAGCATTTGTTCCTCGATTTAGGATGTGCCTTGAAACATATGTAGGAACAACAGATGTGACTGAGGGTGGCATCCGTCAAATACCTATGGAGGAAGGTATTTTCGGTTTTGAATATCCCGAAACAATTGCTAAGGAGGATTTTGACCAGGTTTTCACACATTCTGAATTGGGCGTCGGTGTTATGCATTCCTACATCAGGTACTCCGATCCATTTTATTTAAATAATTAAACATTTTAAAATTTGCTCGTTTAATTGAATATTCTAATGTTGATTATGTTTTTTTAGGCTCTTGTATGACAAGTTGTTGGTCCCGAATGATTTGACTTCAATATTCGCATTCTTATCTGCTAGCTGTATCAACTCACGGACAATAGACCAGACACCAGATGCAGTCAAAGAGTACACAGTCCATAGATTTATGAGCGCGACTACGGAGAAGTTGTTCTTGTTGCCATATAATACTGGCCATGTGTTAAATTTTATTCTAAATTCATTTATTATAATTGTTCGACTTTTGCCATTCTATATAACATTTCCGTCTAAACTGTTGTCTTATTTTATAGTGGACACTGGTTTTTGGTCGCGATTAATCCGATGAAAGAAATAGTGTATTATATAGATTCATTGGATGACGATACAAATAAATATGAAAATCTGAAGAACATGGTTGATACGTAAGTGATGAGATATATTGTTCTGAATAATTATATATCTTTATTTATTATGTGACATTGTTCTAAATATGCGTTTATATTATGTTAGAGTTATACAAATATTCAGAGCACAAAGAGATGCAACAATGCAAAAAAGCAAGGCTAACAACATCAGTTGAATCAGAGTGGAGGTATAATTTCCCATGTTTGACTGTTATAGTGGTTCTACTTGATCAAACTATTTAAACTATATATCCTGATAAATGTTCGTTTGTTTTTTCCATTTACAATGTCCTCGTCAGCGCAATGGGATTGACTGCAGATATTTTGTATTGCGCTTTATGAAGGAAATTATTCTTTCTGGTCAAATAGAGATTTCAATCATGGTATGGATCAATTCATAAGTTATATGATTCATTTTGATAATTAACCGATATTTCATCTGAGTAATTAGTTTTAAAATTAAATCGTGCATGTTCTGTTATATTATGTAGTATTTTGATGAATTCAAGTGCGGTACTTACTCGAAAGCAAGATTGGAAGAAATTAAGGAGGAATGGTGTCAATTTATTCTTGAGTTGAGAATTGTATAATTGTATAAGTCGTATCTATTTGTAAAGTTAACGGATTTGTAATTATATGTAAATTGACTGTATTTGTGATGTTGTAATTCTGAGGATCAGATTGTGTTGTAATATATTTAAGCAGGTTTATGTGTATTAAAATTATTATGGGCAAAGTGATGAATTACAATGTATATATACTTAAAGGCCAAAGTGTTGAATTGTGTATATAAGGCCAAAGTGTTGAAATAAAGGCCTGAATTATATAAGCAGGGAATGTAATATAAGCAGGTTTATTGAAAAATATATAAAAAAATGTGATTATTCAAAAAAAAAATTCAAATCGTGAACATTAGACAGCGCTTATACACAAAAGCGCTGCTAAAGGAGACAGAGAGAGTGCTAATAAAGTGCTGCTATAGGTTGGAAAAGGGGGGGGGGGGTCTAAGAAAGCGCTTTAAAAAAGCGCTGCTAAAGGGGGCTCTAAGAAAGCGCTTTAAAAAAGCGCTGCTAAGGGGGTAAAAAAATGTTGCTAAATGTGCTGCTAAAGGGAGCCTTTAGCAGCGCTTTTTCCATAAAAAAGAGCTGCCTTTACCTTTAGCAGCGCCACTTTAGACAGCGCTTTAAAGCACTGCTAAAGGCCAAAAAAAGCGCTGCTAAAGGTCTTTTTTGACATAGTGAATAAAATGTACATCAGATTAAAATGTAATCTACACAATTTTGAGGGATTGCCTTAGAAACTCCTCCAGTGCTAGAAACAATCCCTATAATTCATTAACACATAATTATAACCAAATTAAGTTGTATTAGTAATAACATATAATTTTAAAAATAGTACCTTTTGGTGATTACCGATGAATGTATAAGTCTTGCATAACCTGACACCTTCTAAATCATTTGCCAACAATTTTAAAAACCAGTTCCATGAATATTTTGCTTCACTCTTTACAACAACATATGTTATTCGCAACATTTGATCACTTAGGTCCCTTCTAATAGCTTCTATTATTTGTCCACCATAATAATTCTTTAAGAAACACCCATTCAATCCTATAATAGGCTTGCACTTGAAGAAAATATCTTTCGGTCCTTTAAAACATATATACATCCTTAGAAAACGCGGGTTCACTTTCATACTCATTAGATAATTCATCACTATTATATTCTTCAATGTCACCCAGTCCTCTATAGTTTATATTTTCCTCATCATCTTCGCTTACATCATCATTCAAATTCCACTTAACACTACATTTGATCTGCCTTGTTTGTTTAGATGGTCTTTCAACCTTGTCTTTCCCTTTCCTTTTACCTTTCCCATTTTCTTTACCTTTCCCTTTATTTTCCCTTGCTTTTCACCTTTTTCCTTTTCCAATAATTCTTTATGATCAATTGTAATATCTTCAACAATACCAATATAATCCTCTGAATCTTCAATGTTTACTTACAAAGCATTGTCTTCACTATCATCATTTGTTACTTGGTTGAAACTGAGTACCACATTTATTTCATTGTTTCAATCTAGTACTACATCTATTTGAGTGTTGCAATCTAGTCTCACATCTATTGTATCAATGTTGTAATCTAGTCCCACATCTATTGCATCAATGGTCCCTCCCCTATTAATGTCTTATACTACATCAACTCCCTCATTAAAGTCTTCATCCAATTGTTTTTTTCAATATTTTTCGCATCTAATTTAGTTACCCCTTCATCCAACTTGTATTTTTCAACATTATTCCATTCCTCCAACTTGTATTTTTCAACATTATTCCCTTCCTTCAACTTGTCTTTTTCAAAAGTTACTTCAAACAATGCAATGGTTCCTCCATCCAACTTGTCTTTTTCAACATTTTATTCATCCAATCAATGATCCTTCCCTCAAAGTTGTCTTTTTCCACGCTATTCCCTCCCTGGAAGTTATAACTTTCCATATTACTCATTCCCTCACAATTGACATCTTCATTCATCTTCACTACATTGGACTCTACAACATATTCTTCTTCTTCTTCTTCTTCTTCTTCTTCTTTGTCATTGGGCCCTACAACATTGTTTTCAAGGGAACGTTGAAACTTTTCAATTATTTCAGGTTATGACAGTGGATGGATGACAGTGGATGGATGACATATAAATGCATATGCTTATTCACCAGTGCAATGTTTTTCATCTTATTGGTTCATAAATCATATTTTAATAAGACCATCTCACTAATATCCATTATATCATAATACCATAAGCTCTTCACATTTTGGTATCCTTACTCCTTTAAACCACCCAACACTTCAAAGTAACTCCAAAAATCTGGGTCACATTAACAAACACACTCTAACCCATTACAACCTAATTTTGTAAACTCGGTAAAGTCAACCCCATGATGCAAAATACACTCAAACCAATCATTTGTGACCTATTTAATCTAAAGAATAAGTGAGAAGAAGATGCAAAATTTAAAAATTTCACATTATTGACAAGTTCATATTTTCATACCTTTCGAATAATGGAGATGAATAATCCTCTAGCTTCGTTCATGTTTTCTTCATATGTGTTCTCTTCGTTTGCATTTGTCTTTTAGGAATCTAGGGTTTCACACTCTTCATTATCGTCTCATTGTTCATGTTTATAGTTTAGTGTTTGCAGCAAATCAAGGCTACTAGGGCTCACTCATTTGTATGTTTTGTTGTTTTTCAAATAATAATAACTTATGTAAAAAAACAATATTAACTTAAAAATAAATATAAAAATCATGTCACACTACACTATACCACTACTACGTAAAAGCCATTTCAGAACGGTTGTAAAAGAGATACCACCACGCCTGACTAACCGTTGTACGGTAAGGGGTGGTTGTATGTATGATGATTTCCATCACGGTCGTGCGACCGTGATTATAAGTTTTGTAGCACTCTACCTATTACAACGGTTATTTTGAACAACTGTTGTAATATTCTTAATGCATAACATTTAACAATGATTGTTTTAAACAACCGTTGTGATATATACACTGAGTTTATTATAAATTATGTGGAATTCTTATTTCACCAATGCTCACTAAACATATAACCTTTCAATCTGATCTTGAATATTATGATATAAAAAAATTAAGTTATATTAGAATAACAAGTTCACATTCACTGCTAGACAAGAGTTCTTTAACTCCTTATCCGCATTTTTCTCTTTAACAGTTAGAACTTTCTTTAATACTTCTAGCTCTTCAACCCCTCCCCCCCCCCCCCCCCCTCCCATTCCATCACCTCTAGTTTATTTTGCAAAATATTATTTACTTTGCAAACAAAACTAGAGATGGTGAAAGAGGCGGTTGAAGAACTATAATAATTAAATAAAGTTCTAACTATTAAAAAACTAAATGTGGATAACAGGGTAAAAAATTCTTGTTTAGAATTGAACATATACTTTTTTCTAATATAACTTTACCTATCATATTATAATTTTCTAATGCAATCTGAAAATTATATTTTCGATAAGGGATTAGAAAAACACTCAAACCACATAAGATATGATAAACTCATCTTTTAAACAAACATTAACAACAACATTCATAAAAAACAAATATTAAACAACATACAAGATACAACAAATAACTCTTACTAAAAAGAACAAAATCATCAACACATAGCATAAAATACATATAACATACAACTTTTATAAATAAAAACAACAACAACATATCAACTCATAGAATGTTTCAGAAACATACATATCCCATAATGGCATCAACAATGAAATGAAGATGAAGCTGAAGTGTGAGCTGCAAACTTATATTAATTTTAAAGGGATGTCATTCTGCATCTTTCACACAAGTTTGCAGTACTCACTTTAACTTCATCCTCGTTATTGAAAGAAGCATCCCTACCTACAAGTCAAAACAAGCATAAATTTCAAATATTATGAAACAGTCTATTGAAACGTAAACAAGAATACATAAACAGATTTTGAAATATAAACTATTGTGAAGACGAACTTGTAAGGTAACCATTTGCTAAGTTTTGATGAAACAAAGGTAACCCTTCGAAGAAGGCGAGTTTGCTACATAAGTTTTGGGTTTCCATATGAGAGAGACGACTATCAGAGATGTTAGGATTTTATTTTAAGATAGATGAGTGAAAGAGATGATAGGATTTTGTTTTGAGAGAGACGGTTGTTATGTATTAAAGCGAGAGATAATTTGCTTATATATAAATAAGTAACACCTTTCACCACGATTGATAATACGAACCGTGATGAAATGATTGCACTTTACGCCACGATTGATTATAAGAATAATGGTGATATACAATGTCAAATATATTATATCACGATAAATGGAAAATTGTTGGTCTTGAGATTCGAACCATTTCACTCCAAGTACATTTTACTAAGATTTTTAAATTTTAACTATGACCTTAGTGAAATGTCTTTTAGTAAATACAAAAAAAAAACGTCTAAAAATAGTTATTACTACGGTTAACAAGAAGACCATTATAAAATAGGTGTTACGAAATATCTATTTTGTAGTAGTATAACAACTAGATTGTTACATATGCACTCCTTAATAATTTTTCTCAAAATTTAACAGAAAGGATCAAATTAGCTAACAAAATAAAATTTTAAAGACTATATAGTAACATTTATTAGTTAAAGGACCAAAATAAAACTGTAAATTTGTTGAAGGATCAAAAGATACATTATGCCTTACTATTATTTTTCTCCTAGAAAACATAATTCTTGTAAAAAAAACATTTTTGTTCAATCAAAGGAGATTTACTCTAATGGAAGAAAAGAGTACTAAAAATTAACTCACACATTTATGATTTTTTTTCATCATATCTAATTTTATTTTCAAATTAATTATTCAACTCTTTTTTTATAAAAATAAATAAATAAGAGAGTGAAAAAAATTTATTTAGAATCTCTAAAATTACAAACTTATGTATTTATACCAATCAACTCAACCCACTCTTATGTAAATACAAATTACTTTAAATTCAATTAGCTTCTATTCAAAATAATCAATTCAACAACATATTTATCTCATATACATTTCGTCTATTTCGTCTAAGGTTTCATAATTCTATTTGAAATCAGGAATACAAATGAAGATACTCTAAAGAAACTACAACATCAATGTGAACCATTTATCTATCATTCTTCGATTTTTCTTCTTAAAATAATGATTGGTCTATAATAAGTTGTTGCTCCTCAACCAATATAATCTGGCTACCTATGGTGGATATAGTGAATTTAGTTATTAATAACATATGTCCTCTTTGGAAATATATTGTTGTCAAACTTTTTTTTATAAGAGTCTTGACTTCCACACCATGAAGGAGATATTCACGATAACTTGGAAGCTCGATGTCTGTTTCGATAATCTAGATATCAAAATTGGGTTTTTCATGGTTAAGTTCAATTTATGGGATATAAGATCAAGGTCATGGAAAGGGGTTATTTACAGGTGATATGCAAGAGTAGTTGCCAACTAATATTTTGAAGGATTTTGATTATTGTAATCTTCTATTTTGGATTGTACGCAATGAAGATATTGCACATAATTCTTAGTTTTTATTTATGTACTATTGTATAACATGTGTCATAAATATTTTCTTTAGTTTGAACATGTGTATATAATGATGCTTGTAGACATTTGTGTTGTATCAGTACTAATTAATATCTCAGATATATTATACAGAGTGTTACAATCAAAATAACTTATGTGTTTTTTTTTTTAAATTTAAAAGAACGAATGTGCATATTAAAGCGGCGCAAATGTGTATCAAATCAGCTAATATATACGATATAAATATGATCGTTGAAATTTACTTATAATTAATGAAGCTTAAATAATTAACTCGCGTAACGGATCCATGTTGTCTGAGTTAAAAAAATTGAGCTTGGTGATTCTCATATGTTGAAGGACCGAAACATAATTATAATGCTTTAGAAAACGCTTCTGAGTTAATGAGTTCATTACTTTGAAACATCCACTTATAACAACCAAGGGCATCTCCTTTCATATAAAAAGCAGCCATAGGCAAACGATTTTCATGAGGAATGTTATAAAAAGCGAAAAATTGTTCATCTTAAAAAAGTCATTCCAAAACATCACTCCCATCG